CAGAGCAACAGATTGCGGCCGATAGGTTTCGAAAGTGGGCGTCAAAGTATTGTCCTGATGCAAAGTACATGAACGTGGGGAGTGATACACAGTTGCGCCAATTTCTCTTTGGTGGTATACAGAACAGGTATGGATCAAGTTATTTTATATTATTATGTCATGCACTATTTATTGATTTATTATTTTTTGTTGTTGTGGGAAATGGTATGGCTTTTGTGTTTTATGTTCTTTTGTTTTCTTTTTATCTTTACATTTTAATTTGGTCAAAGGCATAACTGATATATAACTATAAAAGCATAGGAGCTAAAAGTTGAAGTGTCGATGCTGAACACAAATGAGACCTATGACATCCTACCATTGCCAGTTTTAGCTAGCTCAGGTGGATGATATGTTTTTTTGATAAATAACTAAGAAGAATCTCTAAATTGGGATTTGCAGTTGGAAAATTTGTCTTGGTAATTAAAACAGCTGAAAACTGAAAGGTCACTCTCTTTTGGAACTAAGACATTCTACTTCATTTACATCCAATGGTAATGCATGATTGCACTTGCTCATTCAAGGAACTGAAATTAGCAATACTTTTTTATCGTCTCATTTGCTTATACATTTATTATCATATTTTCTCTGCAGGAAGGATCCAAATGAGTTTCTTGATGAGAAGGAGGTCAAGGTTCCCAATGTAGATAACATAATTGAAGAAGGAAAGAAGAGTCCTACAAAATATCATAAAATAGTATTGCGTAAGCCCGATTTTCTCAACATCAAGCCTGACAAGTACACTGCGAGTGGTTGGCCATCTGTTAGTGGAGATGTTTTAAGGAGTCTTGCCGGTAGGGTTTCTGCTGACTTTGACTTCCTCGATGAAGAAAACGACGAAGAACAGCCTGAAAATATGTCCACAAAAGATTCCGAATGCCACCAAGCAAATCCAATCTCAGAAATTGACACCTCTGCTTATGGAGAAGCTTACTCTGCTTTTGGTGGTGGGCAGGCAGGAATCGAGGCTTGCCATGCATTTGCTGCTTTGTGCGAAAGTTGTGCTATAGATTCTCTCTTATCCAACTTTATAATCCCCCTACAGGTATTACGCCCTCGATAGCTTTGGTGTAAAATTGTGACCTTCAGTTTCCTATGTTTTTACCGATGTAAAAATGGTTTGATAAATTTTACAATGATTAATATGACTATTTATCTTCTCATCTGCTTTCAATCTAGAGCAGCCCTTAGTCTTTGTCTGGACTCTTGGAGTT